TGGAATGGAAAACATCGGATATGAAAACATCACGTAACGGTACGTATTTTCAACCACATTTTCACACGCAGCTAAATATTTCGCTGGATCACACTGGTCACATCTTCATAAATAAAATTTCAGAAGGACCATTGAGGACGTGAGAACGAAGATGGAAGCTGATCACCATTTGGTGATGGCAAAGATGAAACCGAAGCTAAATTGATGCACTACACTCCTATTTTTTCTGTGTTTAAGACCAGCAGTAAGCCTAGAACGGTTCCCGACGGAGTTCTTATATAGCGTATTCATCCCCTAAATGAATAGAAAATTATCCGAAAATTTCATATGCAACAATTATTTAATAACCAAAAAATTATGAATAACGTCACTCAAAACTTTTGAAGGAGCTGTTTAAAATCAATCTTTTATGGTTTATAGTATACTGAATAGTATTTCCCTTTGTTTTTTTCCCAGTAACTGTAGTAATAAAATTCTACTATTTATGTTAGACGTTTATGAATGAATGGGAATATATCTTAATATGAAAATGTGTGTAAACAAACATCTGCGTGCATTATGGCATAAAAATACATCGAAACATAGCATAGGCCACCGATGAGCATTCTACGACCTAATCTATCCTGCGCCTTCTTTTCTAGTTCTGTCCGATCGTTGTTCATTCCATTCATGTCTGACTCCAATTCTCAGCGTGATGTGCTTTTCGATCTTCCTGCTCTCTTTTGACCTTGGGGATTTCAAGTGATGGCTTGCCGGGTCTATCCAAGATTTCTTCGAAACGCTTCACCCCGCTGTTCTTCAGTGTTGGTGATTATTTTGTCTTCCTTGCTTTCCACTGGTCTTTCTGATTTGCGATAACTTCCAGCGAACTCCTTTGCTGTATCATACAGTTGTCTCATGTTTCCTTCTCTTGCAGCCTTTTCCACCGTCACTTCTACATCTTCCACTTATTTACGTTTGTCGGCTCTGATGCTCTGCTTCACTTGCTTATTTACTTCGGTGTTTTCAGCTTGCGCCTTGGCTTTCTCTGTTCTTGTTCGTCTGATGTTGATTGTTGCCTTCTTGGTTTGCCTTTCTTGAATCTTATCCGGAGTATGTACTGAGATCCATTCCTTGTGATGGTACTTCTCATGACCCAGAACCTCATTAAATGTTGAAGTGATTGCCTCCTTGATTCCATTCCGGTTGTTCTCCATAGTAGTTTCTTTTACATTGAATTGATCATGAAAGGCCTGGAATCTATTGCTGACTGCTATGTTGAATTCGTTGAGCTTTCCAGTATCTCGAAAAAGGCCGTATTAAACTTTTATGATGCTGTTCGACTCTATGTCCAGTGATTATTTAGTTTCATTATCATTTTAACTACCACCAAGTGATGATCTGAAGTTATGTCAGTCCCGCTTTTTGTCCTTACGTCTTCCATGGTCCTTCAGAAATTTTTATTGATACCGATATGGTCGATTTGGTTCTGTGTAGTGTGATCCTCCCAGCACAGAGTCGGTTGGAGGATACTGTTCGCCGGCATATGCTCCATTGGGGGCTACAGTGTAAGTACGTGTGGTCCAGTGAAATCCATAAAGCTTTGTGTATTCGTTTGTGTGGAAATATAGTGCCACCTATGACCAGTTTGTTGAAGGCACACAGGTTTGCAGTAAATGTCGTTTCATGATGTCTTTATGTCCAGTATTGTCCATGCCAACCTTGGTGTTTAGGTCTCCCATCAGAATGCTCAAATCCTTTGATGATCATTTCTTAACTGTTGACTGCAGCCTCTGGTAGAATTAGTCTTTAACTTTTTTATTTTTATCGATGATGGTCCCATAGAAGTGACTTACATTGATTGTTATTTCCTCCTCCTTTGATTTCAAGAATGCTTTGATGTTCCTTAACTGATGAAACTCCTATCCCATTAGTGTATTTTGTGCTTGTTTGGAGATCATCAGTGCAACGAACTCCTTGCGTGTGAGGTATTTTCTTGTTCATTGCCGGTGTAAAACAGTAGTTCTGCTGAAGCTAGTCTTTGTTGTCCAATCTGCGTCCGATGTGTTTCTTTGATTCCAAGTACCACCAGGTTGTATCTTTTCATTTGTGCAGTAACTTGAATAGTTCTGCTGGTCTCCCGCAATGTACGAAAATTCCATGTACCTATATTAGTGGTTTCTCTGGTTTTCAGAAGGAGCATCGGCCTCGTGACTTCCGAAGAAACTCAGCTTTCATCATGGGATTTCATGACTCTTCTAAATGAAGACCTTCAACTCCTAGTGCAGAGTTATATAGGTTTGAATTATTTTTTTTCTGGTTAGCGTTTGTTCAGCGAGTTGGTTTCCGACGGTATGAGGTTGCTAAACCCATGCCTAAACCCCCTCCTTTATCCGAACTCGGGACAGGCAGTAACTAAAGAGGTCTCCAGGCGGAGTTAAATCTTTAATGTGTGGGATAGATATATCATGTTACATGGTTTGAAGTATTCTAGTTCAGTTATTGTTTAGGAAGTTCATTTTTCACATATATTGCAATATTGCAAGGCCTTAGTTCAGATATATTAATTCTTCTTAATTGAACATCCTGTTTCTCTGTGAACGGCTTACCAAATATCATTTCCAGCGACAAATCAGCTTATCTAAAATTATCTACAACTATAGAAAATAAAACGGAAACAGAGAGCATAGAACAGCAAAAGCGGTAATTGCAACGATAGGTTACTACGGTCTGTTAAGGCTTCCATAATTAAAGTTCAGTGCCTAAACTAGTTCAATACCTTACCTATTACCCATTTCCTAACACCAGACTTGCTTAGTCGATGGTCCCAGGATATACGAGCAATGTCTTGAAGACAGCGACAACCGAATACTAGTAACTTACGAATATCGTCTTTTCTTGTTGGCCATGTTTCGCGCCTATGTAGTAAGACGAAGTGAACGGCTTGCTCAGTAGACTCGTCCTTCGGTTAGCAGATGGATATTTCGCCTACACTGTAAGTGACACAAGTTGGGGAAAGCCAGTCAAGTCTTCTGTGTCCGGTTCGAGATTTCGTCACACACCAGGTCATCATCACTGAGATAGGTGAAGCGGTCAACACACTCAACTACTTGAATTCATATCTCTAGTTCAGTTTCTGATGCAAGCCAATCGTAAAGCAACATTTTACACTTCAAGGGAGAGAATCGTATTCTGAACATGCTTGCATTGTTGCTGAAGGTGGTCAGAAGACTCCGATTTTTGTTGGCATCTTCACAAGATAGAATTATGTCATTGACATTTGATCAGTCACTGAGTCTCCTGGTAGAAGGTCCACCCTAGAAAAGTCAGACGATGAAAGTGTCATCTAATAAAGCATGTTGACGATAAAGTTAATTAAGAATGGATAAAGTGGACAACGCTGATGGATACCAGTTGAATTAATTGATTCCGATGACAGTTCGCCATAAGCTCTCACTCGACCTGGTAGTGTTTGAGTAGAAAGCCTGTACAAGGTTAATTTACTTCTTTGATACATCTTTCAATATCAGACTGTGGTATCTGATCAGTCTTTGTTGGTAATATAAGCATCCTATGCATTTTATATAAACTATACACGTTAACAACGAATGATCAAATTCAAACCACTTCAAATTCAATTAAACAATTGAATGAATTTTTAGATAGAAAGTGTTTTTAGTGACTATGAAAAACCGAATTCCTATCGATTTCTTTTATTTTTTTTCATAAAAAATTGAGACAAACTACTTATTACATCAGTGTTTAGTTTCACACTAGTGATAATCTCATTTGCATTGTATAAAACTAAACTTTTCTTTTAGCTTGATAAGAGATATTGAGAGTACTAGAAGTTATGTGAGTGATTTTTCTGTTTTTTAATTAGAGATGGAATAAAAGTTGGTATGTTGTATTAATGAACAAAATGCAACTGAACAGTCAAATATGCATAGAGTATTCATGTACCATATTTTTTTTTTAAAAAAAATGCATATAGAATAGAGTGAAGATCATAAATGATTATCTGTTATCTTATCAGTCAGTATTCCTGCTTACTTTTGAATTGTTTTTTTTTTCTAATTCACTGGTGATGGTGGTTTGTTTGTGAGGGAAAAGAAATTATTTCCACAGTATAAATTATTCGTATGAAAAGTTTCATTCATCGATAGGGTAGTTTGTTGAGATTTAATCGACTAACAAAACGATCAATATTTTTAACATACAAATTGAAACTGTTTTTATTTGATTTCATCTTTTATCGCAGATTTTATTTTAGGTTTTTGAAAGTTAGTTTCAAGAGTTTTAATGAGAAGCTATGATTAGTGTAGTTAAGTCATGTTAAGTGTAAGGCAATCAATTATCGACAGAAGATAATTGAAGATGGTGGTCATATTATATTGTCAGTCAATTGCAATTAAACAATGTAAGTCAATGTATATCGACTAAATGGTCTGACAATTAGGGGCACTTGTCGAGGATCCTGAAAGTCTGAGATTCGACTCAGATTGGGTTGTGCATGTGCAAAATCAACTGAGGAGTATCATGCTAGAAAGAAACAGATGTTGAGTGTCAAACAATTTTCACTGATTATCTAAAATCAACCTTGTTTGGAGTCATGGATCCCTTTTTTTAAAGAGTTTCAAACTAGTACTAAAAATCTAACCGATTTGCCCAGAATTTCAAGAGTTTTTCAATTGAATTGTTGTCATGCAAACAACAAGTCAAATGAAATGTATCATTTATCTGCTAAGCTGAATGTGAGTACAGTTGCTATTTCGACGTAAGACATCATTTATTCATTGTTTTATTCTTACTTATGCCTACATGTATGTATATGTGTTGTATGTGTATTTGATGACTGATTTAAAGTGAAAATTTATTGGTTATTGTTAATTCTTTTCTTCATTCAGATGCCAAATTTACATTTACATATACATAATTGAATTCAGCTTAATCTGATTGGTGAATAGTTTCATATGTGCTGCATTAGACCTGCACACATAATATGCATTGAAAACTTAAACTAATGAATAACTAAGTTTTCAATGAACACCAATCATACAATAAGCAAAAGAAGTTTGGTTATAAATGTAGTTTTTTCATGTGTGTGTGTGTGTGTGTGTCAGTTCATATATTTATTAAAAATAACAAATAACAAGATATTATTGATTTTGAAAAGCACACTGATCAATTTCGACTGTCCAGAATTATCAATCATGTTCTACTATATTTCAGCATATCATCCACTAGTATTAATGGTTCACATAATTCATTTGAAGAATAAAATCTTTAATCAAATAATGTGATAATGATGAATTATATCTGCTTTTTATGGTGTATTTTAATTTGGACATCAGCTTTTCTATGTACAATTGGATGTCTATTACCTTATTGGTTAGATGGTAGAATTATTCGTAATCCACAAATTACTACAATTGAACAAAATCATTTTAAATACACAACTTATCAATCAGACTTACCAAGTACATTGAATTTATTTCGTCGATGTGTTTATCCAGTGTACACAACTATGGTAACAGATATTCTCTCTGAGGATCCAGAAAAAGCGACAATATTTTTCAATCAACCAACAAAACAAAAATTAAATTTAAAAAAAGATTTTATTGAATCTTCACTTATTCATATACAAACAAATTGTGGTTATTATCAATTTTTTGATATACCTCATTTGGCATGGAGATTTAGTTTGATGCTTTTAGTGATCGCTTGTTGTAGTTTATTTTTTATAGCATTTATTCTATCATTTACTGGATGTTATTTAAAACTTCTATGGACAATGAATGTACATCGTATATGTCAATTGGGGTTAATGTTTTCTGGTAAGTTTATTAATTCTTTTATTGTTGTAATAAGTACTAACTATCATGACATATTGATTCAAAGGCTTCTTATCGACTGCTTTCAACCATCTAGTATCAAAGATTGGTTATGTTAAGCAGGTATTACATATTCAAATTCAGGAGTGTTGTCAATCCTTCTGAAACGATAATACCTTTTACTTGGACTATAAGTTTTCTCAGTGATGAGTGAAAACCTTCGATTCTATACAACTAAGCTTATCCCACGTTGAATTAAAACATCATAATCTTGTAAAATTACCTGATATATATAACTTCAAGATTTTTCAGTCCAGTTTATGATCCCTACATGGTTTTGTAAAGATTATGGAATTTTTATACTTAAATTAGAAACTGATCTTAATTAAATCACCATTGTAAACTTGTCAACACTGGACGGTCGTATCGTAGCCGTTTAACACCAGCCCAGGGTTCTAGAGGTTAGGCTTTCATGCGCAAGACTAAAGGTATCAGGTTCCGATGCTGCAGACCAGCTGGTGAGTGAGCATTGCTGAGGAGCCTTTAACTAAGACAAGACGACTGTCAAGTGCTTCTAGGTTTCCATTGGTGTTCCAACTAGGATTGATCATTTTGTAATAATGATATTAGTAGAAATCATCGCAATAAAAATATACATGAATTAATGGTGATTAAGACTTTTTAAAAAAAAGAAGTTATTACGTCATTCCAATGGATAATGGTGAGGCATAAAAACGCAAAATGAAAAATGATGACAGAAGAAATAAAATAAATTCAACAGACAATAGAGACAAATAAATCGATCTATATTGTTGTAGAACAATCATTGTAACAATAAAAATAGATCCAATGCCATGAGTTAATGTATAAAATTTGCATGATTGTTAACTTTAAAAGATTATTTGTGTAGTGTTGGCCACAATTGAAATCTGTACAAAATGAATGATATGTAATATTAGGTTGGAGTATTGTTGTTCATAAGTTTGATGAGTTATAATTGTTAAATTATTAAATTACTTGAACAAACAAACAACTTAAGTAAGAATAATCACATGTGAATGTGAATATTTCAAAATAAGATAACGATGGTATGCTAAGCACAATTACTGAACGTATTTTCTTGGGTTATAATACTTTGAATTTATTTCTAACAGTTACACCATGCATAGAATATGTAATTATATACATTTTCATAAACTAATCTAAACTTGGACAAAAACTGAATACATTTTTGCGAAATTCTTTCCATCAACAAGACATTGAGTGTAAATCTTACTGTATACATTTCTCGTTTTTTTCCAAAAGACAGATAAACAGAAAAATATGCTAACAAGTGTAGAGTTTCATTTTTAAGATGTTCAGTATTTAGTGTCATGATAGATTGTAAGCCATTTTTAATCTCTTGCGAGTAAACAGAATTAATATATTTTAACACTGGGTTTAAACTAATCATAATCAGCAAGGTTTACTACAGTATTTAGCCAAAAGCTATGCTCTAAATGTCAGTATCAGTGATACTCTCCGATTCACTGTAGGGGGAGGTAAGTTAAATGGATTCGAGCCTTGAACTTAGTGGTTGAAAGTTATGTCGCTAAGACCACTTAAACACTGCTTACTTGTTATAACGATATGAATATGTATGCAAATGTAAACCGATGCACAGCCACTATTGTTAGATCCTACATTCTATCTATGCTTTTTTCATACTTAAAATAAATATTGGTATATTTATGTACTGTATACTCTATACATAAATATGCTAAGGAAAGGAAACAAGTTGACGGACTGACTAAATCAGATCAGACCACTTTAATTAATATAACTAGTGTAAGTCAGTATTTATGCCCCAGTTTCATTGGTAACACTTTTAACACACTGATCAGTCAGTGAATTATTTTCTGTGTACACTCTAAAATATGATGTTACATGATTAATGATAGAATTTCTTTTATAAAATAACAACTTTTATTATTGATATCAGGTAAGTTCTATTATAACTTCACCATTCACTTTCATTTGTACATACATACATACACAGAGATACAGTTCACGTATACCCATTAACATAATTGGTATCTGATTACCGGAAATTCGATAGATAGATAGATAGATAGATAGATAGATAGATGTATTACGTTGAACAGTTAGTGAAAGAATATAAGAAAACGTGTTTGTAAGTTTCTGCACATTAGGAAAATTGTTATGCATTCTTGATAAAAAATTAAAAAAAAATCCAACTGACTACATTATTTCCATTTCGATGAATTGTGTTTAATACATCAGTGAGGCAAAGAAAACGATCAATGCTTCATGTTGTAACAGATATCCTCTTACACTTGTGGCACGCACGCACACACACACACACACACACCAATATTTACTAAATGTTTCATATTGATTATGATTAATATCATAAACATTTTTCCATGTTCATTGAAATCATGTTAACCATTGAACATAACTACATGTGTTGTTGTTGTTGTTGTCTAGCCATGGTTTTAGGCGTTTGTGTAAACCAACAGCTAGTTTGAAATTGTGTTGTGTTTTTTTTTTATCTAATGAGGGTGTTAATTTACTTAAATGCCAGTAATTAGATTATTTAAATCAATTTAAGGCAACTATATAATTTCACTTGACACAATAAAATAAAATTATGGTTCAAAGACAAATCGTGGCATGGTGGTTATTGATTAACTGGTGTATAACTAGTCACTTACACATTAATTAATTAAATGGAATAAAAAGAAAAAAAAGAAGAGTTTTCCAGTATAGTAATTATTCGAATGAAGTTGGTCAAAACTCAGATCACATTACAGACTGACTTGAACAAAACAGTCATTGAGAGATCAAGATACTGGAGGGATGTTTCGTCTTAGTTCTGCCGAAAAAAACTCTCGGCACTGTCCACACATGATTTTGTAATAGACTGAATTCAGAGCCTAAGTTTTGCTCTAGTTATTACAACTTAGATTATCTGAGAGTTCGAGAGAACTGATGCTTTGAACCTCTATGAATATTAAGAATTGTTGAAAGGTCGGGTATTAGTTATCGGGTTTGTGAGAGAAGTATCTCACAATCGATTCGTACGCTATCATAATTCATAACAGTTCTGAAGGGTACTCTTCAACTTTGGCAATAAATTACACGGAATAACACGGAATGAACAAAAAGTAACAATTATTTCTACCCAGTTTAACTATATTTTCATGAGTCACTTATATCGGACAAATACAACTGACCAGTATGAATGAGATCAGATTAGTTATAATGAAGAAGAAATACATTTCTCTATCAAAAAAATATTGAAAATTATAAAAAAAACCGATGAAATATTTTGATAAGTTAGATAAGTTAGCCATCTAGAGGCTGGCTGTTCAAATGATATGTTAACATAAATCAACATATCTCTCTTAAGCTAACATCTGTATTATTGTATAACTTTGATAAATTGTGTTTGAGTAACTATGATGTAACGAGGTTTGTGTTGGTCGATAGGAAGCGCTGAACATGCTAGCTCGAATCCCCACAAGTGTGGCTATGTTCAAAGTAGGAGATTGACTTGAGAAATTCGTTCTATAATATTTGACCCATTTGTAGACATTATGAAGTGTTGTTTATTATACATATGTTTACTATTATACCTATCTCCTTGATATAAATGAGCACTTTTACTTATTTTGACTAGTTATGTATTTTATTTAATTTATTTTTAATTTAATTTTTTTAGCTTTTTTTTAATTTAATTTATTTTATTTATTGACTCATAAACTGCCTTAATTGGAGTAGAGTAGAGTAGAGTAGAGCAGAGTAGAGCCCGATGATGATTTGATTGACAATAATAATTTTTCTGTTTTGTGCATTCTCATATACTCTATAGAAACTTTTTTTTTCTGTATATTTCGCATATTATCTACTTGTTCTATCCTAATCGACATGATAGAAGTTGTATCCCCGTATTATTGAATATTTATTTATACCTTATACATGGGCGCTTTATTTGATGATTACAAATATTTATTCTGGTTAGGGACAGTGACAACTAATATTAAATGTTGAGTATATAAATAAGTTGAAAAATAAACAATCTAATATGAAATCATGAATTCATCAATGTTAGACCACAATAAGAAACGTGGAAGCACTGGACAACCGTTTCCTCTTAATACAGGACTCAGCGGCAATGCACATCCACAACCTCCGTATGTAGAAATTGAACCCGAGACCTTTGTTTTTGCACGCGCACGCTTAACCACTTGATCACTGGGCTAGCATCAAACAGCGCTAAATGTCTAACTTCAGTCAATCCAGTCATCCCATTGTTTTCGGTGGGTAATTATCTTACACATGATACCGTTGAACTTCACTGGTCACCGCTTCTCACTAGAGCTCCGATCATTAATTGATCAATTATCAGTTTATGATGTAAAATTACAAATTAGCTTTGGGCTTAATTAAGTGTAAATTATAAATCGTATCATAATTTAAATTCATACAATAATTTATCACTCATAATGGTTTATAGTTTTGATTACAAGAGATTGTTCTAAATTACGGTCGAACGTTGATACTGTTCATGAATTGATAAATACCACTAAAGTGTAACATTAAAAATTTGTTATAACTAATCTTAATAGCTTTGCATTTTTTTGAAAGATAAAAATTACTGAATCTCTTCATCGTATTATTAGAATTTTCTTGATTACATGTCCAAGTTATTTGTCACCATGATAATATTTTATCGAAATCCTAAATTTTTAATAGCGTTTTATGAAATCTTTTCCATTTTTCAAAGCAATTAGTCGCTTTTATAAATTTTGACAGAACAGTGAAGAAACAGAGTTAGTCTGAAAATGTGATGTGTGTGTTCTGTACATTTCGAAAAATCTGACCACACATATTACGGTATTATGTGCTTTGCTATCGAAACGGGGCATAGACGTGGCATCAAAACAGCCTCTAAAATGTTGTACAGAAATTATCGAGGAAGAAATCTAAGATTTATTGAATCATTGGCTGTTCACAGATCCAAGCCTCCCCTATGTATACAGAAACAGTTTGTCGTAACCTTGAATTTGTCCAGGTAACCTTCAAGCCCTTTTATGGCCTATAGTAATGTGACGATTTGCTATTCTTTTTGTATTATGTTAACTTTCTCCCTCTCCCGAACTGCTCGAAATGTACTGCGCATATACATTACATTTTCAAATCAACTTCTCGTTGTTGTATCAAAATGTTTCATTAATCTATATTGTATTGCCAGAAACGAAATTTTTTATATATTCTGTTGTTCTTCTTCAAAAAGGTCTCATCATCCTATTATGTTGTATCCTGTTCACTATTGGATGGTCTGACAATGATGAAATTTTACAGATTTGCGGTGAAAGGCGTACACGATTTGATTTAGGTGAGTATTTTTTTTGATTTTTGTGAATTTTGATATTTAATGGATTATTCAAAATGGGAATAATGATAAACACATCTTTGTATCAACATCACAGTTTCATCTGAGTTGATATATGTTTGAAAACCAGGAAATAGTAGGTAATTATTTCGTTCCAGTATGGAACTCCTCATAAATGTACACCGACAGTTTCACCAGAGATCAAACTCAAGAACTTCACATCTTTCAGAGTACGTTCAATCATTTCTAATCAGCCTACCAAGATGACAGAGAAACCGACCAACAAAAGACCAGACTTTCAGGGAAACCTTTATTTCTGAAGAAAACAAGATAAAATAAATTCACATCACAGTATATGTTGTGTTTTTGTATTCCGTAATAACTAATAGGAGTAAGTGTGGATCATATGATCCTTACACGATATCAAATTTACAATAATACTGTATTGTGAATTGCTCCACGTCGTAGTAATAGTGATTTACATCAATTATAATCGAGTGAGTTATTACGAGGTTGGAAATTATTGAAGAAAATAGATCATTGAAAAGTTGTTTTATGCTACATAAATTTGAAATTATTTTACTGTACACACTACTATCCATCTATGGAGATGGAATCAACTTATCCGCGATTCACATCCTTAGTTAAACATAGATATAATATTTATCTAGTGCTTTACGGTACTTAGTGGATATCAACGCATGTTAGGAGTAGTTCCTACAGTTCCTGAATTCACTAAATACATCTATAAAAGTAAATTAAAGTTTAGACTGGTGATCACTGATTGTTATATCCTCTTGAAATCTAGTTACTAATCGGTCAGATTATTATAACTTTGTATTCTTATTTTTAAAAATACCAGTGAACTCCTTCAACCTACATGTCCAACTCACTTGTAAATTAACTTATTTGTCAAATTTTTGTAGGTCATTGTCAACTTGGATGGGCCTATGTTATTACAATAATGGGTGGTTTGTTGTCAATCTTTTGTTCAATCTTTCCAAATCTATGCTTTCCAAAAATACTACTTGAAATGAAACAGAATAATAAGTCCCAATGTGTTAAATCTAGTCAACGACAAACAAATGATGAATTAATGCCACATATCTTATCACATGGTTTGTCAGTGACACCGACAATTATAACAGCTACACAAGGTGGGCCACCATCTGCTGAAACTGCATCAACTAGTTTACAAATGTCTGATCCACGTATTCACCATGTTGGTTTCGAATCACCATGGTTGAAAAATTGGGGTTGCTGGAATACACCAAGTCAACATCAATCACATGGACCAATGGTACTATTACATCCTGATTACAATCTATCCTCCAATCCAAGTGGTCGTTATAATGCAGAAAATCAATTAGGCTATAGTCAAGGAAGTTTAGATGATACTTCGTCAGTTGGGACAGATAAGAAATCTGCTACTGGTCATCCAATGAAGTCGAATGTCTCAGAAAATTCGATACAAAACATAGAAAGTAATGCGTAACTATTAAACGGCTCACCTGAAACACATACATCAAATCTAATGTGATCTTTTACACAAAAAATTAGTGCATAAAATATTTGCAAATTTCCTACCTAAGTTAAAAAATATTTCATGTACGCCAACTGACTTTGTCGTATACATACATTTAAAATATAATTCTGATAACCTTTGTCTTCTCTTTGCATCAGCCATATTTATAAGTCGTTTAAGTAGCTAAAACTCAAGGTTGAAATTCCATGAATATTTATATATGGTCGATGCTATAAAACAGAAACGCAGGCACATTGTTAGCGGTAAACAGTATTTTTTTAATGGAGGAAAGAATTAATTGATTATAAAATTTTGAAATTCGGGAATTGTACGAGTCTATAAGTCAGTCATTTTTGTTAATCTTCAATATGCTTATTTAGCGGCTGATGAATGGACTCCAGTGTGGATGAATGATCGAGTGTGCAATGAATTAAATCTTCCTGTCCATTTCGGTGTATCATTCTTAGGCAAACCCCGTTTGTGAGACAGTGGTAATGAAAAGGCCAAATACGGTTTCGCGGAGGAATTTATTTCATGCATTCATCTATTGCAAACAGACATGAGAATGAAAAGCGTACAAACAAAACGAAGCGAATTGGAGAAGGCTAGTGAGCCAACTCTCCATGAGCTGAAGAATGACTAAGTACTTATAGTCAAGCAACAATAGGCTAGACATGTGATAAGCGAGTAAGCATCCACACACACACACACACAATCAAATATACAATAATCGATACTTTCATGGAATTATTACAAATACAAAAAGATGATCAATACAATTATCGAATAATTTAAACGGCTAATTATGAATGGTGAGATGCTAAAATAGCTCCCTTCCAGCTACACTTATAGAGAGCTTTGAATATCGTTTCGGCGCGACAACTATGGTTGTTTTGTTTCTGACTTATTGATTCTGTTATTGAAACAGGGACCATTAAAGAAATATTTTCACAGACTGGTGTTTTAACATTTAGTAGTTGTAATAGTTTAGAGCAGGAGATTGAGAAACATCGACTAAACTGTTTTGTTGTATCCAGTCTTAGTCAAATAAAACGAACTATGCTAGTTTCTTGTGGTTGAATACCTCCGAAAAGTTTGAATCAATCTGCAAGTTAATAACTAACCAGTATTTATTTATTCAGTCTGCATTTATAGTTTCCTGAAGAAAATACCACAGCCGTAATCTTTGAATTCTCTCAAAAATCACGTTTCCTTCCAAGCTGAAAGAGTAACTTCATATTGGGATTCAACATCACTAGTGATATAATCGTGACTGATTCACAAAATCGTTAATTATTCGCTAAGTACTTATTTTTCAACCACTGATCGAAACCATGCACTACCTATTTCAGTTTCGACATTTAGCAAGTAGCAGTATTTATAACTTCCAAGCTAGAAATACTTAGTTTTTAAGTGAATTAAATAAATATGAATATATATTTCACAAATTAGATTAAATGAAATGTTGATAGGCTGAATGAGTCTATTGATATCAAGTACCTGTGCATACACACCACCTCAACGTTGAAAGGCAATTGGGGAACATTAAAGAAAGAAAAAACACCACTGAGGAAGGCCGGTCATAGCATTAGTCAAACACTCAGTCTATATTGCCTTGTTGTCGTTAGCAGGACTGACACGTATTCATGCCTATAATGTATGTACAACTTCATTCGATCTGTCAGTTAAGGCTTTTTAGTTATTTCTCAGTCTTCTCTCTCTCGTTGGTAATAGGCGAAAATGTATGAAGTGTATTTATCTGTGATTGAATCGGACGTAAACAGATCGTATTATGATGTTTGCTATTCAAAAGGTTGCAAGCAAATAGTATGTAGCGGAGCATCCCTCACGAGTTACTACCAGAGAAAGGACTGTCTGGATATCGAAATGTATAGAGCTATCAGAGTGTATTGAAAACCAAAAGAGTTGTATTGTACATGGGTGTTTGAAGACTATTATTCAATACAGTAACAGTTACCAGTTTGACTTCTTTTTTTGTGAGAAAAATGTATGCTCAATTTTGATCAGAATCATATAATCAATTCACCGATACACTCAAAGTATATACTCAATACTATGTTTTCTCATTTAAAAGTTATTATCACTAAAACAGATCCTGAGGATAAAAACTGTGATATAGTTTAATGTGAGGAAAAAGACATACAATGTTACTAAATGATGACGAAGAGTGCTCTTTCTTTTGCTGACACTAATATACAGATTTTATTTCATTGATTATTCACTGACGAATGATCAAAGCAAATCGATACAACATGAAATGTCACATTTAATTAACCTTAGGGATGACCTAATTATGACAATATGTGAATAAAATGAGAGAAAAGTTGGTCAATCAGTGGTGTAAAACTAATCGAAGATTTAAATTGGAATTACTGTGTATTGAAATGAGATTGAATAGTTAATTTTAATAAAGAGTTAAATTTATTATAATATTTGATCTTTTGTATATTTTCTACTTAATTGAATCATTTGATGATAAAGTTCATGAATGAGAAGTTTTGTGAATGTCTACTAAAGACCACTTTAACCACTAACCCAAATGTTTTTGACAGCAACAACAAGATCCTAAATTCCACTGGTATGACAAGCTTCTTCTGATAATATAGTGAGAACTAAACATCATTTTTTTTTTCGAAAAATATGTCATAAAAAAGAAAAACATATCCTGATCATATTTTCTCTCTCTGTAACTATACAAAAGTCACACTGTTTGACCAAAATATGATATATTTGTTGAGTTGAAATGGATAATTCATATACACATGTATGATTGAATTGTTTGTAAATATTTGATTGCCTATCTACATGTATATCAGAGTATGTTGTGAAATCAAAGTCAAATACTGATTTACGCAGTCAGGAGTAGGCGTTATAACAGATTTATACTGAGAATAGCAACTGATGAGAATGAATGCTTTGCGTTTAACGCAAACAGGAAGCTGAAATTCATGACATGGAAGTCTGCTCAAGTCTCTTTGTCACTCGTTTACAAACGTGCATTTATTATCATAAACTCCTGTTTAAGATTTGTTTTAACCAACCAGTTATATGTGTCGACTGCATGTACTTATTTACACGTCACTATGGAATGTTTACGTTGCAACACATTCGAAGTCTTACTCTACCCACTTCCAGTTTTAAGTTTCAGTTTATCTTGATCTCGTGCTTTCGTTATAACTGATCGCTGTCAATTGCTTTCTCTATTAAGGGTAAGTCGTCGGCAAACTTTATCTCTCGTTTTTTCCTCTTCACGATAACCTCTCACGTTGTTCTTCACACACCCCCAACACACAAGGTACCTCTTGGTTAATCAGAGGTGGAAGTTACAACATGTGACGTATTCTGAAAGTTTATTCTGTGAAAGTGTTGGAAGTGCTGAGTGGAGGCAAGACGTATCCTACGGAGTTGGCATCGATTGTGGAACGGAACTAGTGGTGTAACTTGTAACTTCTCACAATTGTGAGTATATAAAAGATCTTTTAACCGGAATCCATCATCCTAAATGTCTGCATTTGACTAGGAGAGCATGTCACATACAGTCTATTATTAACCAACTTAACAAGAAACTAAAAAGGCACAACCATGTTGATTGGCATAATTTCCTCCTTGGATGTCGTCTGAAAAGAGATAAGGGATTTATTAAAGAATCCATGCATCTAATATATTCGGTAATTCAAAGAGACATTATGGATTCGATCTCATCGTAAATATTTACGGGTAGATATGAATCTCAGTTAAATAGTCTTTACGAAATTTTTCATATCGAATGCTTATTTCATTTGAATTTATTTCAAAATTGCATATTTTGTGTTTTGAACCGTTTACTGTGATCAAATACATAGTAATCAATAAGGTGAATATTATTATAATAACATTTTATTTGATGTGCAAACAGCCCATATAAGCAGAAACTAATTCACCGTAGAAATTATGAGGTATCCTACATGAGTATGGTGGTTTCATGAAGCCCAATAGATGTTCTTCCACTTAAACTAAATTAACTCACTTATGAGAAAGTTTTGTTGCAGTGACTTGTCTGAATGTAAATAAGTTTTTCGCCCAAGATACCGGCAGAGAAGAATATGGTAAGCAAGTTTATTTTGTGGATTATTTATAAGACAGTAGATTCTTTTGATAGACGCTTCCTCTATAGTCTAAATAATGTTTTCGTGCTAATTTGTCGGTGAGTTAACGAAATGTATAGTTGTGAGATGGGACCCAGAATGATCGTTTTGTTCTAAGCATAACTTTTTAAATGGATTTATCTCCATCACCGAATCGATCTTCTCATTCATGAACTTGATGCCAATACCTTTCACTTCAAACATTAACGCGTTATGCTCTTCACTATTAAGTTCAAATAACTACTCGCTTGTTCATCGGGTATGAATTTTGTTCAATTTTTAATGGTTTAGATTATTTGATTGTTGATATTATGCTGGACATTTGTTTATTCTTAGTTGGCCTGTATGCAACCTGTGAGGATTTTCTTCCATACAGTCATGAAGACACAAGATTGTATAGAATATATGGAATGTGGCTAGTTATATAACAATCAAGTGACAAGATTCATGCATAACCATGTGTTTATTTTGACATTTATCCGACATTAGGAAATTATCATTAATAAAATGACATTTTTCCAAGGACTTACTTCGAATAAGATAAAGGAATGAAAAGTCTCAGATTTTGTGTTTTACACTATGTGTATCAGAAGAAATAAATATTTACCACGCTTCTGTTATTGTTAATTTCTAATGACACCCTGTGAACTGAATAAATGCATTTCATGCAAAAGCATCCGAAAAATTGTTTCTTAATCAAACTTAGTGATTTATACTACCATTTTACTGGTATTTTAGTTGTTGTCAGATTGTAGAATTCCGAAATAACTGCAGAAACTGGTACTGTAAAGTTTGTTTATTTACAGGATATTCAATTTTATCTGTATATTTTGATTTCGTTTTGATCATCTGAGAATCAGTGTTTGGTGCATGAATAAATCTTCATTAGCAGGCTTGTATTTCTGTGTCCATCGGGTCAATCTTGTTGCATTACAGGAAGTAGTAACTAAAGATAATTTTGTAGATACAATAGACAGCCAAGCCATCAATACTTTAATTGACTCACTTTACTAATATTTCGAAGTCTCATTGGGATTGATGTTCGGTCTGTTTTCCACTTCAACTTTATTCTATATCTATTTTTATTTTGGTTTGAGGCAGAATCCAGGACGAATATTTCGTTCCGCCTAGAATTTTTCATTGCGACGTAACTGTACCTCAGTATTGATGTTTACAACCAAGCATCTCAACGTATTTTAATAGCCGCTAACTTGTTCACTGGATGTGATGTAGTTTTTAGGGATTTGTATTTTCCTGTTGTTAATATTCAGAAATGTAGTTGATCAGTTAGTGTTACTATATGTGAATCATGCGAGGATTACCTGGTTCTTCGGTCTCTTTGTATGTTGCACTACTTTTTAATATTCAGTAGTTTTATTTACGCTCTATTATTTTAGTGGGTTCCATTCTGTAATCCCTTACTTGGAATTTTCAAGGCCAGAGGAAAGAAAGAAGACCAAAGAACACATTACTCCGAGAATTGAAGACAGACATGAGAAGAATAAACAGCAATTGGATAGAACTGAAAGGAATGACCCATGACAGAGTAGGTTGGAAAATGCTGGTCGGTAGCCTATGTAAAAGTTTTGTTGTTTAACATATTCTAACTACCCAATCAGTTCCCTATCCTGATTCCATTGAGATTACTTTCACAAAAGACACTAGCATTTTATTCTACATTTGCTTTTCTCATTCAATTAAATACTAATAATTACTTCAGAATAAATTTAGTTAATCTGAAAAATCCGTTCATCTACACTAGTTCTCAAAACTACATCGGACAGTTTAAATCTTCAAAATGAGTAAAAGCTAATTTTAAAGTCGTGCATTGTACGTTTATTGATGGAATATGTTTTTCGTTTAATTGATGAATATCTAGTAAGTTTAGAAGTGTATAAGGAATGTTGAATGCTTATAGTTTACATTGTGGACTGAACTTAATTTGCGGCCGTTAATCACTGATTACATCAAAAAATGTTTAAGAAATGTCACGAATAGATTGAAGTTAAAAATGTAATCCAGTACCCCAGTTCGTTGCGAACCCCGAAGAGCGTAGGTTCAACACTTAGTGGGGTCTTGTATGGGTACTGCTGGGGAGTTCCATTTTTGGATCAAACAGATGCCCAATACTTCTTGGTTTCTGATAGTTGTTTAATTAAGTTCAGCGTGTGGATCGGGGCATAAATATATTAAAGTTATTACTTCATTTAACTGACTTTCTCAATTTATTTCCATCTCTTTAAATATAAGTTTTTTTGCATCAACTTTTTGGAATTAGAATAGTCCAACTTAGAAAATTTAAGTGTTTCGATACATGATTTATATGGAATATTGAAAAAGGATATTTTTCAAATTGAAGAAAATTATTTGCCAACACTATCCACTTGAATAATAATTGTGAGTTTCATCAATGATAAAATTCAAAATGGACTTCATTAAAAATGAAGATGAAAATCTAACACACACTAGTGGAATCAATCAAGTCGGAAGTGAGATATACTATTGATAATAGTGGTAAAGTGTAAGCAAGATGGATGTGATTCACTTTTAACCAGTCGGGGCTGTTGGAAGAAGTGAGATGGCAGATGTTCTTTGGATTATTGAGACATAAACTGTTCGGTCACAGTTTTTGTTATGATTTTCAGAGGGTCCAATAAAGGATCGTGATTAGGGTATACTAGACAGTAAAAGAACACATCATAAAGACTGAAATTGAATACATATGAAAAACTGATTGAATTTGAGTACAGAAACCACTGGATGTTAACTGAATGAATGAGAAATACAGCGTCTATCGTAATACATAAATATTCTGGGTTTTGATTCTGTTTCTCAGGTTATGGTTAAACATCATTAAATGATATGGAATGGTAGCAGTTGATGTAGAAAGGTCAATCAATCATATGTTTATCAAAAATGTCTATAGGAACATAAGAACACAACAAAATAATCAAACCTTACAAAACGAATTGTCAGAAATAAGGCCATTAGAGTGGATTGATTTATTTCCTATGGAGTAATCTGAAAGTTCGTCTCTACATAAAGTAAGAGCTGATGATATTTTGCAGAATGACAGAAGAAACTTCACAACTAGACTGTTCATTTGATACAACATGAAGTTTTTGAAAACTGTATCTATTTACTTATCCTTGGTTTTACAATTAATGTTCAACCAAATTCAGTTCATGCTGAAGGCTGTCTTATAACGCATAGTTATCATTCAAGAGTTTAGGGTAATATCAAGGGTAGTATTAATTACTTAATAAACTTTTCACTACACATAGATTTCGGAGTTTTACATGCCTGAATAAATTTGGTTAGATAACCTCTGAAATTCGGGAAGCTATGGTAACTGTTTCGTTCTAATATGAGGCTCGTCAGTGGTGAGCATTCAGGACTTCAACGGCGATCGAATAAAAGGACTTCAGACCATTGACTAAAAACTATGTTGTTTCCATTTCTAACGTCACTCGACCTACGACCTAAGAATAGGGATTCAATTCAGTGTCGTGATATTACTCTATTCCTAATCAAATAGTCACTTGCCAAAAGATTCACACCTAACATCTTACCCTCTCACATACACAAACATCGATAGAACAACCGACTATGGTAATAAAAACAACAATAGCAACACTCAACTTTACATATTTCCTAGAGAAAGCAAAACAATGCAGAACGAGCTGAGCTAAAACAATTAATAGAACAAAACGTTTTCTCACTGAAAGAAGGAGAGTAGGTATGGAAAGGTGATAAAAAAGGAACGAGATCAAGCAAATAGTAAAAAAGTTTGGAGAGAAAATTGTGAGAAATAGAACTAAACAAATAGAATTGCTTGTCAATAACATTTTGAAACAGACTTAAGGAATCAATCACTATTTCATAATAGTTATATCTTTTGTCACTGATAGTTATATTATTTCGAAAATTATTGTTGTTAATCTGTATTGGAAGAATGGTAAAAATGTGTCGTGTTCTTTTGAATTTCTCCTCTGACTACTTAAATTGTAATCAGTAGCTTTGATTTCAATTATCCGATTTTATATGTATTTGTTTGTTTATATGCATGCGAATGACTGTAGTTCATAGAGGAAGCAGTAGAACAAGAAGGATTGAAAAGAATTCGTGACAAACCATTGTCGAGTGTTGAAGATGATAAGGAAACGAAAAATTTATAAATAGACTGAATTATTCTAACTAATTGAACTACATATTATCCATTTTGAATTATAGAATTATGATTCTATTATATGCATGTATGCATGAAGCATGCACTTATTATATATATATATATATATATATATATATATATATATATATGCATAAATTTCTAGTTATCTGAAAGACGATATGTAATAATTCTATGCAACTTTGATTAGTTAATTGTTCAATCTCCATTGATAATTCACTAATTAAAATCATTCATGTTTTTAATGCTGGCTGGCATTATAATCACTTTTTTTTCAGAGTTGTCATTTACACTGAATAGAATAATTTTTTCTCTCATTGTCACATTTTTGTTTTATTATTTAGTTATTTATTTTAAATTAATTAATCTTTAGCTAATACCAAATAGAATAGCCAATAAATACACAAGAATAGAAAAAAAGATATTGGAAAAATGAGTCGACTATAAGCATCGATTTTTGATTCATAAGTTGATTGAGTATTGTTCATGTTAACAATTTTCATTGATTTATTATTAACTTTAACATTAGTAGAAGTGGTTAATTTACTAGTTGAAATTTGTTTTAAAGCTTGATGCTGCAATGAATGACGCTGATGATGTGAATTACATTTTAAACAACATAAACATTGATGTAAGGCATTTTTTAAACACCATAATTTTTCATCTGATTGATTAATTTGATGATGATAATTATTATGATTTGAATTTTTGAAAGGTTCACTGATTATTTCTTTTTTTACATTATCTAAAAATGTGGTTGTTTTTGAATCTTTGCTTGGAATTGTTAAATGATCATTATCATTAATGTTAACTGTTGTTGTAGTTTTTACTTTTAATGCTGATTTTTTCGGTTGTTTATCTAATAACGGTTCAATTGATACACGACATGAATCAATTCTCAAAGGTTGTGAATGTTTTTGTCGAAATGTTTTAGGTTTTTGCATTAGTTTCATTGTTGCAGGATAATCTACTAAATTGTGAGTTATTTCATGTATCTTGATATTTTCATGATGATTAATTGATTCTGTTTGTTTTAATTTTAAATGTTTCGTTGGTATTTTCACCTAAATTCAGTTAACAAAAAACAAACAATCAAACAAAATGATGATTTCATTGAACTTGTAAGGAATTGGATTACTAATTAATACTGTAAAAAGAAATAGCTTAAAAACATAAATAGTAAACGTGATTAATCGGAACAATGTAAGCTGTGATTGATCAATGAGCGAAGACAGATATATTTGACTTCATTAAATACAAGAGATCATGTTGCATTGTTATCCATTTCAATTGTTCTCCATTCTGATTCAGATTATTGACTGCCTTGAATTGTATTGATACATACCCTCTCTCTATCTTGACTATATCTGGTTTTCAATCGTTGGTCAAATAATTGAGTCGAATGTTTCAAGTACAGGTGATATGATTTATTAAATCTACTTATTTGGTTCTACTGATCTGACCATTTAGTGATATGGAGTTATGTAGGGTTATGAACACCAAACCTGTTATTTTACGATTATGATTAAACTGATTTTTTCGGTATGTCAGTTAAAAATGCCAACTTTTCACGCATACTGACACAAATCACAACAGAGACCGATGTAGTACTGAACGTTTCAATTATTTAGTGAATAAAAATGTATTTAAGAAAGAAATGAGTTGCTGGTTTTATTAACTGACTAACTATTCAGTTATTTTTTTTTACCACGAAGTCATTTCATGTAGAGACAACCACTTAAAACTAGGATACAGTTTTAGTAACTCAAGATCTGACTCCTATTTGGACGAACGATTAAATATGCTATGAAAATAAATCTTCCATTTTATTCCGTTTATGAAGCTTAGGCTAACTCTCCTAATGCAACGGCGGCAATGAGGAGCTAAATACGAACGGAATCAGATGAGTTTATTTCATACACTCACATATGCAGATAAATATAACAATGAGAAGCGTAAAAGCAAAGCGAAGAGTAGACGGCAACTGATCAACTCCATTTTGTGAATGTTTGACAAACTATTTATAGTCAGACAAAGATAACCTAAAGACATGTGATGAGTAAAGTTTGTATTACACACATGCTCTAATAAGATCAATCAAGATTAGGTCAAAATACATGTGAACCGTGACTCTGAAAAAGAATAAATTGGCTTATCCTAAAGCTAGAACAAATCATGTAGACTTGACATGATACAATAAACAGCTGTTTAGTATTATTAATCAGTGTACACTCATTTCTTTATCGTGTTTAAAGAAAGGACTTTACTCAATAATCAATAATATCTTTGTATTTTAGGTGGTCAGCTGTGATCTGTATAGCTCAATGGTAATGTCCAGACTATGAAATTGTGTGACATAGACACAAATCCCACAGGAAGCATCCTTTCCCTTAAAAGTGGAGATGTGCCTGATTGATGAGTAGCAGCCAGTAACAAACTTAAGTCAAATGTGATTTCTTGCCTATTTCCTTCTAGCACCTAAAATTAAGTCTCTAATCTATTTAACAAACTATATGGTTATTTGAGAAAAATAATCTTATGTTCATAATAACACTAGGTTATTACACAAATATCACTGATATAGAACTTACATGTGCTGACTTTTTTCTTGGTGCTTCAGGACATTTTAATCGAGCACAAGCTGGACAAGTACAACATACTGGTTGATAAGAATCACAGACTTTACAACGTACATTCATCGATCTGATATGCCTTGATCTACTTGTTCTGTTTGAATGTTTTATTGTTTTCACTGTTAACTCAGGATCCGATTCAATATCTCTTGTGTGTGAATTCAGCTTTTTATGTGTACTATCTAGGGATGATTGTGGTTGATGTGATTGGGATCTTTGATTATTCCCCTTTAAAATAGGTTTATGATGTCGATTCTTTGTGAAACAACAACAACATCGAACTTCACCAGTATAATTTGTTAACAGAGTTTTAACTAAATCTCTTACTTCTGGTTCCCATTCAGGACTTTCACTTTTAGGCGCCATTAAATAAGCATAAGCGAATTCAGCTAATGCTGCTATCACAAATAATAAACAGACAGTTAGCCAAACATCAATCGCCTTTAAATAAGTTACTTTAGGCAACTGTGAACTGACACTGCTACTCTGGTTTGGTTAAAAATGGAGAGGGAGAGAGATGAAAGACAGTCGATTACAAACATAAAGTATCATGAAGATATTCTTGAAAAATGCTAAGAAACAACAAATATTATCAAGGAAAGAGCATTTCAATCCAAAATCCTAAATGACCTATACATATTTAGGTAGTATTGATTGAACTGAATTTATCTTTGTTAGGAATGAGCCGATTTCTCAAAGACAACTGATGATAATGACCCAATAATGAGAGCCGATTAAAGTTATGAATGCAAATCACTGGATAACGATGTGATGGTATAACCGTTAAGTACTCCCAGGGAACTGAAGGTCTTAAGTTCGATCCCTGATAAGGTAGCGGGAATAGAATGCTGTTGGATCCAATCTACTGAAAAATGGTCGTTCAGTGCTTCCTTATTTTCAATGGTTGTCTAACTAAGATCAGCCCGTGATGTAAATTATTTAACTCAACAATCTCAACAAACCCTTGAGACTTATATGTATATCGTTTGTTTATCCAACATAAATTTAGTTAACAGGTTGATATGTACAGACAATTACTTTAATTGTGATAGGATTCGTTATTCACCGCATATATTTATTGAATTTTGTAGTTTGCATCATGGAGTGATCTTAGACAACGATTGAAAACCCGTAAACTCTGAACAGCTGTTCTATTCCATTACAGAGCTCCTTAGAAGTGTGTGTATCCATGACTTTAGGGATTTAGTCCAATATCTAGATGTCTTATAGAGAGCAGTTAGCCTTTAGACTACTGAGTTGCAACTTAGTTTGCCAAACTAAATTATCCACGTTTCGGAAAGAAATATTATTAGAGTTGAAAAAAAGACTAATTTTCATCGAAATAAATTCCGTATTGTATTCAGTCGTCTTTCAAGTCACCCTACATGTATGAAAATATTAAAACTGGTTTATATTGGTCAGTCAAATAACCATGGGAAAATTATTCGTATGATTAGGAAAATTACATAGTAAAAATTCTTACTATATGATATTGAGAAGAAATTTTTTAGTTTATCACGATCATAGATGATGAAACATTGTGAACTGATAAAAAAGTCGTGTATCAAATCAGCTGATATAATAAACTACAAATTATCTTTATGACGGAGACTTCGTAAGAGGAATTTCTCAGTTGATTTCGTGGAATGATTTTAGTTATAAACATTTTCTGAGAACTACAGAGTGTAGAGATGGCATGACAAACTTATTTTGTAAACAGTTTTTGATACTATTTGTATTTATTTTGTTAATTTTTACAGTTTGTACATTCACTATGAAATTGTTGTACATTTTGTTTAAGTTTGTGACCTTGAATATAACAGGCGGACTTACTGCTTCCATTTTCCGTCCACTGTACACTAGCACGGCACTTACTGCCATACACTATCAAATACACTTTATACATACATTTCGTGTTTTTAAACGCTTATTGGATTAATAAGCGAGTATTAATACATACATTATCTACTTTATAGACTGCAGTCACATACACATACTGATCTTTGGATTAGCATGGCATTTGGCATATTAAACTTACCATAGTTGTGGTGAAATACGACCAGAAAGAATCGAACACGCACAAGTAGCTGCAGAAAGTAACGTTCTTATATTTTTATTGTATTTATCGCATTTAACTGATATATTTCAATATACATTTATTGATATTCGATAACTTTGTTAATATTTTGAAATAATTTATTGATTGGTCCACCTGAGGCTTTCAGTATGGTTAAATCACAATTATCCCTTTATAACATCCTCATGTCATCAACTTAACGATTGATCACTTTATAACACTGAAACTATCTGTCCTAATAGTATTTTATTGGTAAATTTAATAAAAACTGCTAACGAAGAAGACACATTTTTCTCCTCAACCATTAATCCCAAGTTTAAAATTCAGTGGATCTCAACTGATATGTTTGATAAAAATCTGTTGGCTTAGATTCTACATATCCAATTTCTCTATGACTGATATAATTCATTCAGAAGCAAAGATGACGCGATTCACCTTTTGGAACACATTGAAACATGATTAGTTACACAATGATGACAAACTTGGTGTTTAGTGTTGAGGTGGCTGCAAGAAAGAGCGATGAGGCTTCCAGAGGCCTCAAGAAGTGGAAAGACTCCATCCAATCACAACCGGATGGAATCGCTAGAGTATCGACATGGTATACAGTGATTGGATAATTGAGTAACACCTCTGTTTACAGATTGGACGATTATAATGATATTTTCACTCTATACGAAAAACTATAAATACATATGGTTTCCTTGATATGAGACCTAGGAGGGAGTTGCTATTCCTTGTAGTGCCAGAGGTTATAATCATGTTAGCCAAATCTTGTAGCAGACTTAACATAAAGGCTTGTATTTTCCGATTTTCAATTCTAAAGAATTAAAATGATTGAGTTTCGTTAGCAGATTGTCATTTAGTTGAAATTCGCCAATAGAGCTGAGTAGCTGTTGGCAATGGAATCCAGGGTACCCTTTTTGTCATATTTGGAATTTATCAGCTGAGAAAAACCTGCAAATCCCAGTGTTAGTATTCACAGTAATACCCGAATCTTGTACTGATAGTTTTGAACGCCAACAAGTTTTCTACTGAGCCACTATCATATGCAGCAGGCATAAATTTTATTCATTTCGGCTAACTGTATTTAATAGTTAAGTGAATAACGGGTTAGGCACTTGAAGCAAAAGGTAATATTTTCGAGTCTCAATGTAAACAGCAAGACAGATATGTAGGAACATCCAGCTGACAGTCCCTATATATGACGAAACATTCATCTTGGGTTCCACTAATAGCTGTCCAACTTTACTAAAATGAGATTAATTTTTTTTTAAAAACACCGGTTTTGAGGAACAAAAAAAAGTTACTTGTAAAAGATCAACTCACTTCAGTTAGTAAACCAAGCAATGTTAACAAACCTAACGTTACTCTAGCTGGTACTGCTTTAATATCAATCCAAAATCCTAACCATGACACCATAACAATTAAAACTTCCGGAATATATGTTGTCACAATGTACGAACCAATTAATCTTCGAAGTGGTATAATAAGCAGTAAACAACTATACGTTCCTGTACTCGTTGTACCATTCTTTGTACAGTCCTTTATGAAAGCAGAAAAAAAAGCAGGTAAATAGAAATAACATTAATGAATTAATAATTTTCATTGTATTAGTTTAATAAGAAAAAATAATAATAATAATCATAAATAAGAATGATTAAAATTGAATAGAATTAGATTATTGTCAGTTGTAGTAAAAAATTGAAAATAAAGGCGAACAAATTAGATTTATCATATTTTTGAATAGTTAGTGATACATTGTTTATTAGTGATTAAAATAAATTTGGAATATTAGTGAGAGGATGTAATTTTTCTTTTTTGATATTCATGACTGCAACTGATCTGTTCCTGTTGATATATTTGCATCTAAAGAGAGTTGTTTTGATACAATTTAAGTATTTTTGATATGTAACTGGAAGTGAAATCTAGGGCTCTTCTTATATGAAACTTATCAACTAAGTTTATCGGCATTCCAGTGTTGATGTTCACATTGAAACTCGAAGAAAATCAATCTAACACTTACTTGTACTTTTGTACGAACTGAATGGCTCAGTCGATTATACGTTGTGAGTTTGAAGAGTGAGGAATTGAGTTCAAGTTTCATAATAAGTAAAAACATCATGTTACAAGGTATATCTTGTTGATGAGTCTCAAATAAGGCATAACATATATCCTAATTTCAACAGCTGTCCGCAAGCCAAATGAATTAAAACTGATACAGTTTATGTTTTATTAACTAAAGGTTTATTAAATGTAAATTGTTAGTCAAAGTAGCTGAAACTGGCATTTTTGTATACTCTTAGATTAAATTATAGTAGTATGCTTTGTGTCAGTGTAGAAATAAAACGATACAATCCTCCCAACCCTTTAATATAATCAATGTCCTTGCTAATTTTATACCATTGATAAACGTTCAGATAAGTTAAATCAATAAGTTTTACCTAAAAATTGATCAAAACTTAAAAGAATACAGATGACTTTGATCTAATTACTTCAAAAGTTTCTTAATTTGAATAGTTGAAGGTTTATTTTAATGAAACCATTGTGTCTCACTGTTACAATATTGAGTTTATGATTTTCTCTACTATTTTATACTAAAACAACTCAATAAGTCTAATAAAGACAATTGACCATTTTTGATATAGAATATGATTCAATCATGATAACTAATCAACTACTCAATAAATGATCGATTTGAAATGATATTGAGTAATCTATGTATGTTATTTTGTAGCAAGCTGATTAGTTCATGTCGATTTATAATAAATGCTGCTACATAGTTGTTCACTTCAATAATCTTTTCAGTCGGTCTAAATATTTACTCACAGCATCATGTTATCAAATCAAATTGTTGTGAAAAAAAAGTCAGATTATATTTATTTACTTAAATTTATGACCAGTTTACCTAATAAACTGACGGTATTCATACTTTTTCACTCTAAATGAGAATTCAAAATGAATTTCCTTTAAATTATGTGATATTTGTAAACGTTGACCGAGTTTTTGTCATCGAAAATTTGACAGCGTGCTGTTAAATTTTCAGTTTGACAAAATCATCTTTGATCATGTTTTCTATAAATCCTTCTCGAAAAAAAGTAGAATCTTTGTCATTACTATTGTTAGTGAAAATGGCTAATTAGCGTCATTCTCTTCTGTATTGATTTCATTGCACACACACACACACACACAGGTATACACACACAAATGACCTCTAACAATCCATTATCACGGTCTACCAATATTTCGGTGGTCTATTGAATAATTCAAAGCGAAAAATTCAAAGAAAAATTAAGAAAAAAATCTTTTATTGTAATTTGAAAAAGAACGCCATAAAATTAAGACATTAAAAACAAAATGATTTTAATTTCTTGAAATTAATTCACATATATTAAGTTATTATTGAAATAAAACACTTTTTATTCAATGGATACCATTTAATCCCAATATATATTGCATGTCTATGATTTGTATATATAAAAAGTTCATGCAGTCACCATTTCGCATTGAAATTTCAGGATTATGTTTAAGTAGCTTATTTGTGAGCTAAATTTTGTAGCGTTTTGTAGAGTTGTATGGAGATTAGTTTAGTTTTGTGGACTGGATTGGTCAGGGTTGCTTATTACACTGTGATACCTGAACTAAGATTATTCTTTAAGAATTAAATTCTACAAATTAAATTAAATTCCATAAAATTTCTACAAGTTAGCATCAATTTTACTGTCTAATCTTGTTTTAATCATGTTGATAGTGGTAAATGTGACAATAACTCTCAAAATATTGATTAATATTGAGATGATTTATTTCGGTTTATTATTCCTAAACAAACAACTGAACGATTGAATTTGATGATTGACATTTGTTTAATATATGAAAGTGTCAATGATGAAGTCATACTTTATTGACAAATTTTTATAATATAGAATAATGGAAAAAAACAACTTCAAGTTAGGAATGTTTTTAACGAAAGTTAGATTTTTATGACAAACGCTAATGGCTATGGTTAATCAAACAAAAATGTTATAAAATAGTAATTTTGAATTTCACATCACAGACTGATCTTAGTTAGGCAACTATGTTCTAATATTAGACAATGTCTTGATAAGAGGTCAACTGAAGAACTTTCAAACTTCACGGTCATTAATTAAACTTCAAAACATTCAATTGGTAACGAACAATTTACATTTTTGAAGTTCATTTATGTTTTCATATTATGCATGAATATTACAATTTTTATTGTAGAATAATGGTTTCACTGAGAAATCTCAATGTTCTAAGTTAGATTGCTGGTAGATTCTCAAGAAATGTATCATAATCGAACAAAATAGAGGTGTTCAGCGCATCCTCCTAGTTATCAATGGTATTTTGGCTAAAATAATTTTGTGCTTTAAACTATGCAAACTCTACCATCTCCATCATTCCCCTAATATTGATTTAAAAAATCTAAATGATTTATTTCATTGTCAGCACATATTCTTACATGTATAACACAATTTACCTAAAACTTACAGGTACACACAAAAATAGACAAATACATATATTATCAAGCATGAAAAAAAGAGAAAACTACGAGAAGGTTCTCGAAATAATTTTAATCGTTTTGCTTTTCTATAAAATTAATAAAAAAAAACAGATTGAGTGAATGAGTTTAATATTTGCTTTTAAAAATTATTCTTTCATATAAAGAAAAATGAAGAATGTAATTCTCTTTTAATTTACACTACTACTTATTAAAGATGTGACAATCTAGGTAGCGTATAGAGCGAGAGCGAGAGAGAGAGAGAGATAGAAGAAAATCGATTTGAGTAATTAGTTAATATTTCATAAAAAAAAAATTCAATGAAACAGAAAACAATGAGCGTAGTGAATTTGTGATTGCTATTATTGTTACAATCATTATTTCGACAGGAGAGCTACTTATCTACTTCTACTACTACTACTACTACTATTACTACACAGGATATTTGATTTATAGAGTGAGAAAAAAATAAAAATAAAAACTGAATTCATCCTTTTTCTTCAGGGATTACAGTGGAAAAAAATGGATGAAGGAAATGTGTACCGACCGCATCAATAGCAATATGGTTATGCACACATACACCACATACAATAAGAGAGAGGAAGAGAGTGAGAGACCTCTCTATACAGACACAAAGCATACACGTGATATCACATACTTCAAGTGCACACTTCAATATTTCCTACGTGTTTTATTATGTTTGTTTTCTTTTTATTTGGAAGTACTGATTTATTTTGAATTTGAAAACTGAGGAAAAGCCTTCGAATTTTGTGAAAATCAAGTGATAAAATGAAAAAAAAAACGTTACCACACAAAGAGAAAAGTAATTCAAAATGGAACATTTTGAGTAAAATAAATTGTGAAATTATCTGTAAAGGCTGTGCAATTTCCTGTTGTTGTTGATTTCAATATTGAGCAATTGAATTCATCCTAATGTCACTTGAGATATGTGTAATATCGAGGTGATCTGCTCGATACATTTCATTCTCTAATATGATTATCAAAGACAGGAAAACACACATTCAAATAAGATTTATACACATTGAACAAACTACCGATTTTCCACAATTACTCAATCACAAAAAGTATCATCGATATTTTCAAGTGATGAGTAGAGAATTCTGGTTTCAAGATCAACATATTTGATCACAGTTACATTCAATTGACAATTTACCAATTAGAATGAACTATGCCATCGGAATTCCATTGGTAAACAGTGTAAATCAAACAAAATTGATTATATGAATTCAGAATCATAATTTGAGTTATACTCTGGTCACTTTTGAAATTTGTTTGTTGGCGATCTGTAGTCATTTAGATGAAAAATATAGTCTATTCAACAATTATCTGATAATAATTTTGCTTATACAAATAAATTGCTTATTAATTTCCTGCTTAGAGATGAATTTCTGAAGTTTTAAAGTTAGGTCACAACCGGTGAAGTTTAGCCACTCCCCCATTGAATGACTGTCGTCTTATATTGTGAAATAGTTGAAGTTGAAAATTTATACCTAGTAGTCTAATAGTTAAGAGTTGACCAAGGAGTTTAAGATTTGTCAATGTGTAATGCAATATCTGTTTTGTAGTCCGTCAAATCACTTCAGGCTATGATGAATTCTGTCAATAGATTGATTATACTCATATAATATGAATTTTATAAATCTATAAAAATCTGTGATTAAAACATTAACCGATTGAAAATCAAATAGATGACCTCGGAAAAAATAACAATAACAGCTGAAATTATTCATTTACCCACCTTCTTCTATTGTTAAGTAATACTTATACACATTCATACATAAAGATGAGTATTTGATTAATATGTTGACCTTCATATTGTGATTTAGTATGCATTAATTTTATAATACAACAATTGATTTATATTAGTATAGACAGGAAACCTTTTCTTCTTCATCAGCTATTTGACTGTCAATCAATTGTTAATCTTTTACACTCAATCATATATGTATATAAATAACTTTAAAAACCGTCATTTCATAAGGAAAAAAAAAGCAAAAGGGAGTTT